TGCTGATTCATCTTATTCTCCTGTGTACATGCGTCTTTTTACAAAATATTTTATTCATACAATCATTTCTTTAACTATAGCAACATTACTATTTAATTTTGAATGTCAAGATATCCATCGCACATCACCTCATAGGAACAACAGTATATAAACAAATGCAGAAAAATGATTCTGTATGCATTTGAGTGAGTCTGTCTCTGGTTTAGTTTTTCTCAGTTCGTCCTGTTTTCTGTACACCTGGTCTGTTGGTGATGAGCCAATGGGAGTATTGCTGGTCCTGGAGGGGCGTGGAGTCGGTTCAGTTCTGAGCAGAGCACTGCTAGGCAGAACGAGCTGGCTGCTGGTGGGCGTCCGGGGAAACTCACGCCGGCCCGTTCACCGCCTGCTCCAGGGGGGCCGAGCTCCTGTCCAGCCTTCAGAGGGAGGAGAGAAACAGAAACAGAAAAAGCAGGGGGCTTTAAATGTCCGACAGGCCGATGAATTGGTACGAGATTATTAAAGGAGTAATATTATACCCTATTTCAACAAGTTAACAAGTTAGCAGCCGCTTCCCGTTTAACAACATATCGATTTTCCTCTCCTTTTAAATTAGCTTTTAAATGTTTTACCATCTTCCATAAAATGCACTTGCCTCACCAGAGAGCGTTTGAAATCCTGGCGTTATATTGGAGAATGACCTAGTTCCCTGGTGTCCTGATGTAATGTCTGTGACAAGCTTTGGTCAAAACCCCATAAGGATGAAGCCCAATAGCAGTTCAGTCCCCCTGCCTAACCCTAACCCTAACCCTAACCCTAACCCTAACCCAAAACAGCCCCGTTCAGAGCGCTCGCTTTGGAGTGCCTGTCTCTTTAAATGCAAATGAGACACAGGCAATCCACCCACTTCTTCAGGGAGGTGTGCCCACGTCGTCACGCTAACGCTACCATGCTAACGCTACCATGCTAACGCTACCATGCTAACGCTCACGCTACCAGGACGTCTCCACAGATAGGGGAGTAAGCTGAGGGGGGGGGGGCAACATGCAGGTGAAAGGCTAGAATATTATAATGAGCTAGAGCTAATGACGTCAGAAACTACCCACTCCTGAAACCTCCACAGTCCCAAATGTACATAATCTAATCATAAAAAACTTGGTTTTGCATAATATGTCCCCTTTAAGGTATGCAGGTATGACTAAAATATACAAAGAGCAGGTAATTAGGAAGGCTGAGTCCATCTTCGATAATTACACCCAGCCCCTAAACAGCCAATTCCAGTTTCTATTTCTACCCTCTGGTTCCCGTTTTAAATATCCACCATCTCGGACCAATAGATAGAAACACTCCTTTATTCCCTAAACTCTACCAGGAAAAGCAAGATAGTCATATGTTGAATGCACATATTTATTTATTTATCCACCTTACTTTTATCTTTTTTCCTTTTTAAAATATTTGATGCGTTTCTTGTGTTTTTATGTGTGAAAGTTGGACTACTACTGCACAGAAATTGCCCATACTGGGACAAATAAAAGCTACTGGTTACAAGCAACACGTTTTTATCCATGCCAAAACAGGGAGGTTCAAATGAGATCAAAGGAGACTTACTTGGCCTCCTCTACTGGAGAAATCTCCGTTAGAGGACCGTTAGGGAGCTCCGCCGGGGCCCGGCACTTCTCACTGTTAGACAGAGGACAGAAACCATCCACGTTACATCTAACGGGGAAAACAGGAACACAGATTGGATCAAATACATTCGTACTCTAAGTAGTTGTAAACAGCTGAAAGAGCTTCTGTCTCCCAACATAAGGTGGACATCTGTCCTTGCCTTCATAGCTGTGTTCGTTTCATCACATCTATTTCTTGTTACTTCCAAATACAGAGTCCATTTGGACTTTCTCAGCTTTCCAGTAAAAGCTCTGGACGCCTTTAGCTCCGCCCGAAGGAGGATCTGATCTCTGTATGCACTGAAGCATTTTTATCTTTTTTAATAATGCAAATTTTATTGAGCTTTTTGTTTTATAGAACATACAACAAATATGTCAACATGCCACAGCGACCTTTCCAAATCTACTTTACGGTTAGCCAGTTGGTGAAGGCAGAACATGCACAATCATACTGATGCGTTTCACATAGGAGGCTGTGTGTCACTTTCTCGTAAGAGGCCAGTTTCACCATATTTGTCAGCCTTTCGACATAAGGACGAGGGTTCTTTTTTATCCAGTGTCTTAATATGCACTGAAAAAAGTGCCTATCGGCCGGCTGGATAAAATTCAGATCCAGACTCCAGATCCAGTTTGTTTTTTTAAGTCTGATCCCACACGAGCACTAGCGTTAGCATTAGCATCTGTAACCCACAGGTCTGTGTCCTAACCATTAAGTTGTTATCAGAGTAAATCCCTGTTCAACATGAGTCTGACAACTGAGTAAGTAGATAAATAACTTTGAACTTTAACACATTCTCTGATAGGCCGGTATCGGTATTGGAAAGGAAAAAAGCTGGATCTGGACATCCCTACACCACAGAGAGCCTGAACAGGTCAGCTAAAGGTCAGAGGTCACGGGTGTGTGTGTGTGTATGTGTGAGGACTTATTTCTGACCCCGTTTTGGGACAGCAGGCCGCAGCCGAGCTGTTGACGTCTGAATCCACGCACTCCAACGCCAGGTACTTCTCTGAGGACGCGGGTTTGTCTTCATCACTGGAACAGACAGGTTCACACGTGCACATTAATAAGAGACGCACGCCGAAAGCCCACCAGAAAACCAAACACACACACACACACACACACACACATACACACACACAGAGGTGACAGTGGAAGCATGCCGAGCTGACAGAACACAGTAAAAACAAAGGATGGTGGTGTGGAAATGGAGGGAGTCTGGGAACTCTAGACGGGGAAAAACCATCTAAATGTACAGCAAATGGAGAAAGTCAAAGGTTTAGAGTGTTAAGCTCGGCCACTTTTTTCTGGCCTGGACGCGCGTTTTCGTACTGATTCGACTAAAAAAAATCGATTATACCAGCCGTCAGTCTTACTTTGTCTCAGAGAACCACCAATAATGTCAATGGGGACTCAAAGTAAAACGCCTCCAAAGGTCACATTACAAGGCAACATCTGGGCTGATGTGCTGAAAGGTCCTCGGTCTCAGAGTTTCTGGGACCAGAACCTCTTTGTTTTCCTCTCCTCTGACCCTCCAAAAGCTAAATGTTCCTGTTAAATAAGAGATTTTTTTCCATCTTCGTACTCTCGCATGCTGTCTCGGCATCCTTTAAAGTCAATTTTCACCTTTTAGAGTCATCGTTTTGGATGGAATCAATGGCTGAACCCCAAAAAATAAAGCAGAGTATTCGAAAAGCATACTGAAAAAAGATGAATACAAACATTCATTAAGCCGTAAGGAAGAATGGAAAATCCTGCCGATAGGCAGAAGGTTAAAGGGCATTAACTAATTTGCCGTTTGCCCCTGGAGGCCTGGGCTGTTACAGGATAAATAAATAAATAAATAAATAAATAAATAAATAAAAGGGATAAAGTCGACCCGAAGCGGAAGAAAAAAAAAGTGCACTTGAACAACAGCTTTGGCAGAAAAAACATGCAGAATGGAAAAATGAAACCAACAGACAAGAGCTGGAAACCAAAGATTTAAACTGGGAAAGAAAAGTTGGTGGTTGACGTGACAACAAGACTACATCACGGCTGCAGGCTCGTCTCTGATTGGCTGTACATACCGATAAGATTTCAACACTCTGAAGAAGACCACACCCACAACGCACAGCAAGAGAGAGAGGGGAAGCTCAGACTGTGAGTGCCGTTCAGTTCAATACACTGTTATTTACTTACACACACACACACACACACACACACGGACAGTTTAATGCAGCATCAACAGGAAGATGGTGGACCGAGGACAGGCTGGCTGCTCACAGAGACTCAAACGTTGGGCTACTGATAGATGGCAGCTTCTACTCTGCTCTATAACGAATGGTTACCAAGCAGAAAAAAAAAACCTTTCCAAAAAAATGTTTTTTTTGGGGATACATTCATGTGTCTAAGCTAAAGAAGTGTGACGGAGGCCTCGTGTTCGGTGATCAAAATCAGAAATACTTTAATAATCCCGGAGGGAAATTATTTACAGATAAGAAAAGATAAGATTAGATAAGATAAGATAAGATTTATTGATCTCACAGTGGAGAAATTCACTCCACATGAGTTGTGGAGACTGTGGGGATTGTATTGGTACATGTACCGTATTTTCTGCACTATAAGGCGCTCTGGATTATAAGGCTCATAGAGTAGAAGCTCCAGTAGAGGCTGGGGCTGCGTTAGCATCCACTAGATGCGGCTATGCTAATGAGAATGCTAACTAGACAGTTGGATAATCAGTCAGACTTTATTAACAGACTCCCAAAAGGAATAAACAGCTGTTTTATTATTTTTCCCGAGGTAATGTCCTCCATTCAGTAAATAACAGAAACAGTCTGATATGTTACGGTAAATCAAATGTTAGTGCATCACAATATAAAGCAGCTAGCATAAAGCTGAGCAGCTTTTCTCCAAAAAAAACAAACAAAACCACCGGTATAGAAATATTTGAACTACCTGCTGTCATAGTTAGGATCTGATTCAACAATTACCTTTGATGTACAAATTTGTTTAACAGCCACCTTCTCTTTACTGCATCCATGTTTAAAATGGGGACTAATAGATATGTACATTGTGCAGTACTGTGGATCCCCAGAAGGTGGCGCCTCTTAGTTGTGCACTACTTCTACTTCTTCTTCTACAGGAGAAATGGACTCAATCCTGATCAATATATGAGGCACACCGGATTAGAAGGTGCACTGTCAGTTTTTGAGAAAATTGAAGGCTTTTGGGTGCCTTATAGTGCGGAAAATACGGTACATTTAAAGCCAGCCACATGTGGCCCAAACTAGATGGCCATTAGCCAAATTAAGAATATTAAATCATACAAATCTGCCTGTCTAAAGACGAATCTGCTCAGGCTGAAGAGCAGAAATACCAGATTTGCATGCAGCAAACCCACTAACTGGAACCCAGGAACGTTTCCCATATGTGTTTTCTTTCTGTTTTCATATCTTATTCAGCCTGTTGTCGGACCATTGGCTCAGTTATGGGTGGTGGTTGTACCCACATGCTTTGGCTCAGTTACTGTTTCTATTTTCTCTGCTTTCCCTGATTGCGTAACCAGTGAACTGCAGCTGCCCTCTGCAGCGGCCTGTCGGCGGAGTGTCCACATGCTGAGATACGGGGCTGTTTTGTCATCTGAAACCTCTTAAAGCACTTTTTTTAAATAGCTTATTAGACAACAAACTGGAACCTGTGTGGTTCCACTGTATCAAGTAGATCAATGATCAGAGAGCCTGACACATATGCTGCGTTTTCTGGACTATAAATACATTTTTCCCTCATAGTTTGGCTGGTCAATCATATATCTAAATATAAAAGTTTTTAAATGTGAATTCACACTGACTGACATGAATGAGGGGTAATCGTTACCCTCCACAGCCAGGAGAGGGCGCTCTAGGCCTGTGACTGATAAAACGAAGTGTAAGACAGATGAGTTTTATTGGAGGACATCTGGAGCATGGTGAACTTGCTTTTTGGTAAAGTTCCTGTTGGAACTCGTTGGCTTCTCTTATTTATTATTTTAGCCGGGTTCAGCTTGCGGGTTATGTTCCTTATGCTATTGTGAAGCTAATTGACCGTGAATATGTGCGTACACACCTATTCAGCCAGTTGTTCTGCGTTCTAGTGCGAGGTAGAATAACTGGCCTTTCCAGATCAAATTGTATTGTTTGTTTTTAAAGCTCTTAATGGCCTGGAATAAGGTTTTTAATAAAGATTTAATACGGTTTTTAAATCCTTCCTAAAAACACACTTCTTCTCCCTGGCTTTTAATCAAGTCTAAGTGGACATCTGGCAAAAAAAGAGAAAGTATTTACATTTTAACTTGTTTTATTCTATTTTATTTTCCTTTTATTTTATTCCATTGTGTCTATGTATTTTAGCTTTTTAGTTTTTACCTTATTTCCTGCAACTGTGATATCTGGACAGCACTTTGGTCAATCCTGGTTGTTTTAAATGTGCTTTATAAATAAAGTTTGAGTTGAGATGAGTTTAAATGTGTGTTCAAGTAAGATTTTTTTAATGGTATGACACCTTGTATAGTAGTGATGTCACATGTTAGTGCTCTGGACGGCTTTACAGCTAGCAAACACTGAGAAAAGAGACTGTTCTTGGCCAAACCGGGGAAAAAAAGATGCTAACGAGTCAGTTCAGAGTCTAAAGAAGCTGAGCTCTGAAGTGACTTTGGGGGCCCTAACTCCACCTTTACTGTGTTTGTGTGCAGATGTGACTGGCGAACCTTTTGAAAACAGCCGTCTCCGTCTTGGCGTCGACGGTCAGGCTGACGGTTTCCTTCATGGAGCCGTTGATGACCGTCTCCGTGATGCTGCGCTGCTCCGAGCCGCCGCTCTCTTCCTCGGCGTTGGACGAACCAGAATCCTTCGGCGAGGCGCCGGGAGGAGAAGCCGCGCTGGTCCCCAACCAGCCGTCGCACTCTGGGGTTTGAGAGGGTTAGCATTAGCATTAGCATCTCCTAACCCACAGGTCTGTGTCCTAACCATTAAGTTGTTATCAGAGTAAATCCCTGTTCAACATGAGTCTGACAACTAAGTAAGTAGATAAATAACTTTAAACTTTAGTACATGCTGGAACGGGCCAATAAAAACCCTTTTTATTGATTATTTCTTTCTCATTTATTTCTTTTTCCATCTCTCTTCTAGAAGTAATTTGTTTTATTGCTATGTGTAATTATCTGCTGTATTTATTAAGGAGTTATCGTAGGTTTTTGGAACCAATTATAGGAATAACAGTGTATTCTGGTGGTAATATTTAAACCAACATACCAATATTTTAACATCCAGATCCAGTTTCTTTTTTCAAAGTCCGATCCCACACAGTATTAGCATTAGCATCTGTAACCCACAGGTCTGTGTCCTAACCATTAAGTTGTTATCAGAGTAAATCCCTGTTCAACATGAGTCTGACAACTAAGTAAGTAGATAAATAACTGTAAACTTTAATACATGCTCTGATAGGCCGGGATCGGGATTGGATCAGAAGTGAAAAAACTGGAACGGTTGCGGCCCTTCTCTCTGATTTATTTATTTACGTTGTTTCTGATCATAAACATGACGTTAGCCTTGGATTGCTAGCTGCAACTAATGGCTAATAACAACACGCCAACATTAATCAAGTCCGTCTGGCTGCAGACTGCAGGAAGCCGAGGATGGATATCCAACTCCGCCCACATCCAAGTCGGCCATTTTTATTAGGTCACCAATAGGAAGATCCCAGGCAAGAAAATCCTAACTGCTTCATGGCAATATAGACATTCATTTAAAAAATGGTGAAATAATCTTGCAAACACTGAATTAAACTCTATACATAATATTATGTTAAAATATGTTTGTACAATAAGTCCAAACACGTTTAACCTAAAAATATTTATGAATGGTGGAGGGTTAGGATTAGGGTCAGGGTCAGGACATCGTTTGTTTTCCGATTTCGTATAGACAGTAAAGTTTTGTTTCAACCTCAGAAAGCTGCTAGTCATTTGACCTAATCAAAATGGCCGACTTGGATGTGGGAGGAGTTGGATATCCAAACCGAGGCTCCTTTAGACTGCAGCCAGAGGTGAGGGAACACTTGTGTGTCCAGAACTGACCCTCGGTCGCCGCCGGTGCGTTGACCCCCAGAGGGTCGATGGTTTCTATGCTGGTTTCCATGGCAACGGGAGAGTTGCACCTCAGGGGGTCTTTGGGACTGAAAAGAGAAGATTCTCGCTTTAATATCAGGATGAAAACTGGTTCAAAAGTTGGTGTTTTTTTTAGGGAAGGAGGCCGGTACCTATATAGCTTATTGTCATAGTGATGAGAAATTATTTATTTATTTATTCTATATTTTTATTTCTACATTGTATGTCCTTTCTTGTTTCTCATAGAAGTGTTGTGCACCTAACACCAAAGCAAATTCCTTGTAGGTGAAAAACCTACTTGGCAATAAACCTAATTCTGATTCTGATTCTGATGTAATATTGTGTCTAGTCTGTAAGTCGCTTTGGATAAAAGCGTCTGCCAAATGCATAAACATAAACATAAACATACCTGGGCGGAGAGAAGCCGGAGAAATCAGCCCAACCGGTCTCAGAGTTGGAGGCGGAGCCTGAGGAGGAGCTCCACGCCGCGTCGGGCAGGACCTTTGTGGAGGACGACAGGGGGGAGGGGGGGGCGGGGTCTCTGGGGCTGGAGGCCGAGGAGGTGGACGAACCCGTATCCATGGGGATGTCATCAAAGTTGGCCGTCCACACGGGTCCTTCAAAGAACAAAGTACAGCATCTGGATTATCACTCTATGACTATTATCACTATTTAGCACTATCAGGCTGGTCCCGATCCGATATCTGGATCGGATCGGCCGGCAGGAGAAAATCCAGATCCAGTTTTTTTTAAGTCCGATCCCACAATAGCATTAGCATTAGCATCTGTAACCCACAGGTCTGTGTCCTAACCATTAAGTTGTTATCAGAGTAAATCCCTGTTCAACATCAGTCTGACAACTAAGTAAGTAGATAAATAACTTTAAACTTTAGTACATGCTCTGATAGGCCGGGAAAAATAAATAAATGAATAATAAATATAAATAATAAATAAAACTAAATAAATAACTTGAAACTTTTTTTACTTTTTTAAAATAAATAAATGAAATAAATAAAAATAATAAAATAAATAAATACATTTAAAATAAATGAATATATATTTTTTTTTTACTTTTTCTAAATTAATTAATTGATTAATTAAAATAAATAAAAATAATAAAATAAATAAATACATTTAAAATAAATAAATAAATAACTTTAAACTTTTATACATGCACTGAAAGGCAGGGATCGGTATCGGATCGGAAGTGAAATAGAGCTGGAGCGGGACATCCCTAATAACTACGGTTAATTTAAACTGGAGGATAACGAGGTCTTCTCTCTTCTGTGTGTACCAACCTGTGTCCACTTCCATTCTGTCATCTGTACTGGGATTGGAGACGTCGAATGGATCCCTCTTGCCGTCCTCCTCCTCCGAGTCTGTGCTCTCCTCGCTGTCTGTGCTGCCAGAACTCCTGAGACGGACACACAGACGCAGTGTTACTAAAAGTAGGGAAAATATGTACTCCAATAAAGTACAGATACTGCTTTTGGTACTTAACTCATTGACTGCCAGCCATTTTCAGAACAGAGAGTCCCATGCTGCCAGAGTTTTTTGAGCATTATGGCTGATTTTTCAAGAGCCACAGAATAGTTTGTGCTATGACTTTGTCAACACCGAACACACCAAAAGAAAGAGTAGACTCTCTTCTTTCATCAGGATAAAAAATGTGTTTCTACTTTATTCCGTTCTTCCTCGACTTGCGTCTCACCGGCGACATGTTCTCTCATAGAACCGTTCCCTTTTTCTTATTTGCCTACAGTCTATGCTCATCTCCCATCAAAAGTGGCACTGCCCCCTAGAGGGTCAATTTGTTACTACATACTCTGTCTAGAAGCCGATATTTACGGACAAGCTTTAGCAGATCGTCCCCCAGACACTCTCGTTGAAAAACATAAAAGACGTCTATAGACGTCTTTGGCAGCCAATGAGTTAAGTACAGTACTTAAGTCGTTCTACTTTATTACTGAACATCTCTGCCCAGTGGTGGTAAATGTCTACTGTTTCTGAGCACTAACCTTGGCCGTCTCTGAGCCTCTGGAGCGAAGGTGACATCTTTCTCATCCCAGATGTCCTCTTCATCTGAACCAGCGTCTTCAAACTGCTGGATTTTCTCCTTACAGCGAGCCTCAAACAAAGCTATATTTGCCTGGGAAGACACACAGACGCATTGCACACAGTGAGAAACACACGGCCTTTTCCTAGAGTACTTACAGGTTTAAATTAAGGCTAAATCCTACAGACGTTAGCAGAACTCTATTTCACTATTGTGGCTTTTGCTTTGAGTTTCAGTGAATTAAACATGGACATACTCCATAACTAAAGCTAAAAAACACACTGTCCCCTAGTTACAAATGTAAGATCAACACTCAAAAGTACTTACACTTTCATTTGTATTCAGTGAAAAATTGATGTCTGATATTCTATCAAAGGGAATACTGCAATGTTAAAGAGAACAGAGTTTAGTTTAGTTAGGGTTGTTAGGCATCCACAACACAGTACAGAGCACAACACATCATATTTAACACTGTGGACAACACTGTGGCAGCACAATAACAAACAGGGAAAATTGTTATTTACCATCTACAGAAACTGAAGCTGTTCGAAACCACCAGGTGGGTTTTTGAATGAGCTACATTTCAAATTTCTCTTTAATAAAGCACTAAATCACAACAAATGTGGTCTCCGAGCTTTTCAAACACACAATCCAACTCATTGTTACACCATAATCCAACCAAATTAGATTCCAAATTCACGGCTCACTCAGGAGGTTGACCAGGAAGGTCTGTTATTTTCTAATGCAAAAGCCTGAATACTTCAGAAATGAACGAATGAGAAACGTATCCCAAATAATTCAGTTTAAACTGAATGTAAACACATAAAAAATGCCATTAAAAATGACAAACAAGCTAAAACTATGATGGGTTAAAACATTTTTTTCTTCTTTTTTTTTTAAAAAAGCCGACCTGTACTGGTCTGGTTTTAGACAAACACACTGGAGTAAACTCCATTTCTAATACAAATGTGAGGACAGTGGGAGGCTATTGACCTGATGTAGTCATTTTAGTTAATCAGAAACATTATGGGTGCAGAGGTCACTCAGGAAGTGATGGGAATAATAATAATAATAATAATAATAACCTATGCTGAAGCACACTTTCAGACAGATTCTCGTGAGTGTGTGAGTGGTGTTTATCTCGGCCTATTTTTGAATTTGCCCCGATGAGCTGTCAGTTTCCATTAGATCTGAAGCCTCAGAAATCCCAGCGTGGAAAAACAAATCAATTTAGAGTACACTGCTGTCAGAGGGTCAACTACGACCAACGAAATCACAAATAAATCCAATTTTTGACTCATTACTTCTTTCTGTTAACTAGGAAGTGACACAGTCCAACCACACAAAGCCCAACATTTAAGCAAAAAAGGTGAAAAAGGATAAGGCTTTAAGCCTCTTATTCCGAGGTAAAGCCTCCAAGACTGACCAACCAGCTACCAAAAGCCCACAACAGCAGAGGTTTAAACGTCCCCCAAACTAAATCACCCTCTTTAAAGTAGAAACATACAGCAAAAGACAGCACAAACTCTGGATATGGTTTCTTTTCCTCAGGACAAGGCCACATCAGATGTGAAAATAATGGAAGAACTTTATTTCTTTAACAGAATTTAATGAGCAATAGTCCTTTTTCCCGTTCTTTATAAAACTATTTGGATATAAATCCAATAAAAAGCTCTCATTATGACATGATAATTACTTCAATGGCATGAAACGAGCAACTTAAAGGTAATGTAGTGAGCAAAGACCCTATTTCAGTTTATTAATGAACCTTACCCAGGAGCTTTGTGGTGTCTTAAGTGTAATGTCCCTTCAGTGTCCCACAGTAAAACAAGAACAAATCATGCAGGATGAGTACTCACTCCACAACATCGTCCTGATCAGCAAACTCTTCGTCATTGAAGCCGAACTGCTCAATAAAATTGGACGTCATTTGTTGCATCTGATAATCAGAAAAGGCCTGGCAAGACCCAGGGCCAACGGTAATGATATAGTCTTGGCTCTACAAAATTCTGGTCATTACTTGCAGTAAAAAAAAAAATAGCAAACGCATGTACATATAGTGATGTCCACAAAGAGTAGAGAATACAGCCTCGTTTCCAGAAAGGTTGGAATAATAGTGTAATTTAGAGCACAGTCCAGTGAAATCCCATTTTAAAAGGGGAATTTGCACATTTACCAAAAGATAACAATGTGTTCCAAATGGATATAAAAGTGCATCACTGGGTCTGAAAGATCTTTTCTTTTCATTACATATGATGCAAGTAAAATGTGCATACATATTTAACAAAAAGGAGACAAGGAAAGGACAATAAATTAGATGTGAAGCACTGTGATCCATCTCCAATTTTACAGATATGCAAATATGTATTTTATTTAATTTATTCACAGACGTGAAGCTCTCGTTCATGCTAACTTAGACTGAGCACAGACAGCAGAAAGAAATAACTGTGTTTGTCCTACTGCTGACCGTTAGGTGAAATCTTCTAATTAAATCAGTCAACTCTTTATTTTATTTAATTAATTTTTTTATTTTATTCTTATACATGTGTATCCTTCTCTTATGTACGTATAGTGTTTAATATTTGATTTTTTCCTGCTTTGCAAAAAAGTTCAATAAATTTTTTTTTTAAAAATCAGTCCAATCAAACAATTAATTTAGACTTATGCTAGTTAAGCAGATGTCGTCCAACCTTTCAGAAAACATGGCTGTACATTAGCAACGTTGGTTAAAAAGCGGACATGCATTTCACTGTTTTAAATAAAAACGATGCCAACAGCAATAGCTTTAGCATCTTAACGTGATTAGTAGGTGTGTGAATTGTCTAAACCATGGCAGAAAGGTGTTTGGTGAGCAGGAGCCATAGTTACAAATACAAATACGTTCAGGTGAGGCCTGTCTGTGCACATCCGTAGCTCTTAGCAGACTAAACGGATTAGGCAAAGTTTGGCGAACGAAAAGGGGTAAAAAAAATCAATCCCCAATAAAAGTGATGGTGTTTTTGAGCACAGCC